ATGGAGAAGGAGGTGAATGAGGAGGTGCAGGAGGAGAGCTACTGTCCAGGACCAAACATCCAAACTCCATAACTACATCATGGAGAAGGCTAAAACGGATGATGTACTCAGTGAATGTCTCAGGCAGTGGCAAGATGAGGAGGTGCTGGAGGAGGCCCATCATGGGAGGACAAGCCCCTTCATGAGGAGGTGCTGGAGGAGAGCCCATCATGGGAGGACAAGCCCCTACATGAGAAGGTGCTGGAGGAGGCCCATCATGGGAGGACAAGCCCCAACATGAGGAGGTGCTGGAGGAGGCCCATCATGAGAGGACAAGCCCCAACATGAGGAGGTGCTGGAGGAGGCCCATCATGGGAGGACAAGCCCCTACATGAGGAGGTGCTGGAGGAGAGCCCATCATGGGAGGACAAGCCCCTACATGAGAAGGTGCTGGAGGAGGCCCATCATGGGAGGACAAGCCCCAACATGAGGAGGTGCTGGAGGAGGTTACAGTGGATCCCTGGAACAACCTCGGAAATCTCGGTCCAGAAATGTGAAGGATCAGAAAAGATACTGCACAGAACCCTCAAGCTCCCAGGACCTGAGCTTAGAGAGGGGCAGCCGCCCGCGGAGGAAGAAAGGTGTGTGTGTGTGTATATATGTCATGCATACATACATACATATATATACATATATATATATATATATAACATATATATATATACATATATATATATATATATATATATATATATATATACACATATATATATATACATATATATATATATATATATATATATATATATATATATATATATATATATATATATATATATATATATATATATATATATATATATATATATATATATATATATATATATATATATATATATATATATATATATATATATATATTATATATAAATATAGTTACTGTTTACTGTGTGTTTCTGAGTCTTGATCCCAGAGACAAAGTCTCGACTCCTCAATGAAAGACAAACAGGGGAACGCGGGACCACCCGGTAAAATGAACACGCTCCGAGGACTCGCACCCAGTCTGTCATCGCTCTACTCTCTCCACTCCCCCCTCCACTCCCCCCTCTCCTCCCCACTCCCCCCTCCCCCCTCTCCCCCCTCCCTCCTGCCTCAGCTCTACTCTCTTCAACCACCGACGCTGACGCACAAATATGAAACATGGATCGGAGCGTCTTCTACATCTTCTTTGTCGCTGAGCGCTTCTCTCCCTCTGCTTCCTGCGTCGTGTCTCCTCCTTGTCTCCTCAGAAGCGCTGGCAGCCGGATCATCTCCGTCTCTTAGTGTCAATTAAAAGTGAAATATCTGCATTTGTCAACACATCATTTGTGCGGATCTTCGGTGTCGCTCGGCTGCCTCGTCGGGGGCGAATGGCGCGGCACAGACTCTCCCTCATTAGACCTGAGGATGGCGCTGACGGCTGACACGCAGACACCGCACCAACCGCAGAACAGGGCGCGTCTGTCAGGCCTGTCACTGCAGCCAGCCATCCAGGGCGGGGGAGGAGGGGGGAGGAGGGGGAGAGAGGGAGGGGGTAACTCGCGTGCAGTTTATTTGTATGCCACGGTGCCAATGTGTGTCAGTGTGTCGCGGGGAAGCCCAGGCTCATGGTGTGATGTAGTGATGGAAAAGTGGGAATTTCTCTAATAAGGATTTAGGAGTAATGGGAAGGGGGGCGGAGGGAGGGGGGTGAGAGGGGGGAGGAGGGGGGAGGAGGGGGGCAGAGACAGGGAACGAGGCTGGACCTGAGTCTCTCACTTAAGAATGTTTAAATTGGTGCAGAGCCCGAGGTCTCAGCAGTCGTCCTCTCTGTATCCTTCAGTTCCTCGAAAGGCGCCTCGGAAATAAAATGTGTTCTTATAAATATTATCATAGTTTATTATTTTTATTTTTGGAAGGTTCACTGTGTCTTCTCAGTAGAATAAAGTTATTTGTTTTTTCTTCTGTCCCAGATGTTTTTACCTGGACATGTTCCGACAGTAAACCTCTCAAAGTAAAAACAACACTTTTTTTTTTTACAAATGTCTTGTTTAGAGGAAAATCAAAAATGTTCTTTTAGGGAAGAGCAGGGTTTAGAGCAGTCAATATGACTGCTGAGGAAAGCATGTGTGTCTCAGGACCAAAGACTAAACCCTCAGACCGGTCCTGGGTCAACTTTGGAGAGTATTACACCATCCAAGGTCTGAGGTCTGGGGTCTGAGAGGCCTGAGGTCTGACAGGTCTGAGGGGTGATGTGGTCTCTAGAGCAAGGGTGATGTGGTCTCTAGAGCAGGGGTGATGTGGTCTCTAGAGCAAGGGTGATGTGGTCTCTAGAGCAGGGGTGATGTGGTCTCTAGAGCAAGGGTGATGTGGTCTCTAGAGCAGGGGTGATGTGGTCTCTAGAGCAGGGGTGATGTGGTCTCTAGAGCAAGGGTGATGTGGTCTCTAGAGCAGGGGTGATGTGGTCTCTAGAGCAGGGGTGATGTGGTCTCTAGAGCAAGGGTGATGTGGTCTCTAGAGCAGGGGTGATGTGGTCTCTAGAGCAGGGGTGATGTGGTCTCTAGAGCAGGGGTGATGTGGTCTCTAGAGCGGGGGTGATGTGGTCTCTAGAGCAGGGGTGATGTGGTCTCTAGAGCAAGGGTCATGTGGTCTCTAGAGCAGGGGTGATGTGGTCTCTAGAGCAGGGGTGATGTGGTCTCTGGAGCAGGGGTGATGTGATCTCTAGAGCAGGGGTGACGTGGTCTCTAGAGCAAGGGTGATGTGGTCTCTAGAGCAGGGGTGATGTGGTCTCTAGAGCAGGGGCGATGTGGTCTCTAGAGCAGGGGTGATGTGGTCTCTGGAGCAGGGGTGATGTGGTCTCTAGAGCAAGGGTGATGTGGTCTCTAGAGCGGGGGTGATGTGGTCTCTAGAGCAGGGGTGATGTGGTCTCTGGAGCAGGGGTGATGTGGTCTCTAGAGCAAGGGTGATTTGGTCTCTGGAGCAGGGGTGATGTGGTCTCTAGAGCAGGGGTGATGTGGTCTCTAGAGCAGGGGTGATGTGGTCTCTGGAGCAGGGGTGATGTGGTCTCTAGAGCAAGGGTGATTTGGTCTCTGGAGCAGGGGTGATGTGGCCTCTAGAGCAAGGGTGATGTGGTCTCTAGAGCAGGGGTGATGTGGTCTCTAGAGCAGGGGTGATGTGGTCTCTAGAGCAGGGGTGATGTGGTCTCTAGAGCGGGGGTGATGTGGTCTCTAGAGCAGGGGTGATGTGGTCTCTGGAGCAGGGGTGATGTGGTCTCTAGATCAGGGGTGATGTGGTCTCTGGAGCAGGGGTGATGTGGTCTCTAGAGCAGGGGTGATGTGGTCTCTGGAGCAGGGGTGATGTGGTCTCTAGAGCAAGGGTGATTTGGTCTCTAGATCAGGGGTGATGTGGTCTCTGGAGCAGGGGTGATGTGGTCTCTAGAGCAGGGGTGATGTGGTCTCTAGAGCAAGGGTGATGTGGTCTCTAGAGTGAGGGGGGGTGTGGTCTCTGGAGCAGGCGTGGGCAGGCGGCAGAGTTATGGATGGATTGTAGTTTTTGGGAGATAGAGACCTGAGTGTCGTCGGAGTCCATGGTGACAGATGATGAGGGCGAGGAGGAGCATGTAAATGATGAAGAGGAGGGGGCCGGGTACCGAACCTTGGGGAACACCAGTGGATACAGGGGAGGTGTGGGACGTACAGCTGTTGATGGAACATAAGAATGACAGTCAAAGAAGAGGGTTTGAGATTCTGATTGTAGACGGAGGAGGAGGATGGTCAATGGTGTGGAATGCTTCGTAGAGATCCAGAAGGAGGAGGAGAAGGAGGAGGAGGAGAAGGAGGAGGATGGAAAGAACACCAGAGTCAGGCTGTGACTCCTGGAGGTGACAGAAGAGTAGGTTTCAGCTGCAGCAGAGGAAGAGCTGTGCAGAGGTTTGTGTATTGTGTGGATTCTGAAATGAAAATAATAGAGGTAATTCCACCTGGAGAGACTTTAAGAGACAAGAGTTCTTTATGTGTTTGAGATTTTATGGATTTAATTTGTTTATTGTTTGGAGCTTAGGCCCCGGCTGTGGCCGTGCTCTGAAGGGACCTGCCCCTGGGGCAGATCAGGATCCCCGGGTCCTAGACACTGGTGGTGGCAACAAGGCAAGGTGAGTGTGATAGTTTGGGGAGGAGGTGGTTGTGACTAATATAGACTTTAAATATTATCGTCACGCCTACACGTACTACAGTATGTACTACAGTGTGTACTACAGTATGTACTACAGTGTGTACTACAGTGTGTACTACAGTGTGTACTACAGTGTGTAGTATATACAGTACATTCATGTACTTTTATACTAATAAAACCAGTCGTCGTCAGTGAGTAGTTTTTGTTTTTTATTGTTTTATAAAAACAGATCCAGTGACATTAAAACTAAAACTATTTACAAAACCTACAGAAAATGTACAGACTTAAAATCCAAAAAGATATAGTTTAAAGTCAATAGTAACAAAGTCCAGTGTGAGGTCTACCTGTCTGCAACGCATCTACTGCGTCTGCAACGTCTGCATCGTCTGCAGCATCTACTGCGTCTGCAGCGTCTGCAGCATCTACTGCGTCTGCAGCATCTGCAACATCTACTGCGTCTGCAGCATCTACTGCGTCTGCAGCATCTACTGCGTCTGCAGCATCTACTGCGTCTGCAGCATCTACTGCGTCTGCAGCATCTGCAGCGTCTGCAGAATCTACTGCGTCTGTAGCATCTACTGCGTCTGCAGTATCTACTGCGTCTGCAGCATCTACTGCGTCTGCAGCGTCTGCAGAATCTACTGCGTCTGCAACATCTACTGCGTCTGCAGAATCTACTGCGTCTGCAGCATCTACTGCGTCTGCAGCATCTGCAGCGTCTGCAGAATCTACTGCGTCTGCAGCATCTACTGCGTCTGCAGCGTCTGCAGAATCTACTGCGTCTGCAGCATCTACTGCGTCTGCAGCATCTGCAGAATCTACTGCGTCTGCAGCATCTACTGCGTCTGCAGCATCTACTGCGTCTGCAGCGTCTGCAGAATCTACTGCGTCTGCAGCATCTACTGCGTCTGCAGCATCTGCAGCGTCTGCAGAATCTACTGCGTCTGCAGCATCTACTGAGTCTGCAGCGTCTGCAGAATCTACTGCGTCTGCAGAATCTACTGCGTCTGCAGCATCTACTGCGTCTGCAGCTGCACAAAGACACAGCTCAGAGTTGTCAGATCCACAGAATTTTGTCCAAAGGCACCGCAACAGTTCACTGTTAAAGCTGAAAAATATGATTTTACATGATTTTCATACACACACATACACACACACACAAACACACACGCACACACACAAACACACACACACACGTACACACGTACACACATAGACTTAACAGTTTGAAAGAAGAAGCACCACATAAAGAGAGTCGGTCACTCTGCTGGGACTGAAGTTTCCAACAACAACGGAAGCGTGTGTGTGTGTGTGTCTGTGTGTGTGTGTCTGTGTGTGCGTGTGTGTGTGTCTGTGTGTGTGTCTGTGTGTGTGTGTGCGTGCGTGCGTGCACGTGTGTGTGTGTCTGTCTGTGTGTGTGTGTGGGTTTTTAAATTGAGGAAAAAAAAAATATAGAAAAATAGCACCTTGTTTTGAAATATTTATCTTCTTATAAAAGAATCAACAAAATATGTTTTCTTTTTCTTAAAGTCCAAGTGGTTTGGATACTGTCGGGTGATTGGTCGAGAGGTTGGATACTGTCGAGTGATTGGTCGAGGGGTTGGATACTGTCGTGTGATTGGTCGAGGGGTTGGTTACGGTCGGGTGATTGGTCGAGGGGTTGGATACTGTCGTGTGATTGGTCGAGGGGTTGGTTACGGTCGGGTGATTGGTCGAGGGGTTGGATACTGTCGAGTGATTGGTCGAGGGGTTGGATACTGTTGTGTGATTGGTCGAGGGGTTGGTTACGGTCGGGTGATTGGTCGAGGGGTTGGATACTGTCGGGTGATTGGTCGAGGGGTTGGATACTGTCGAGTGATTGGTCGAGGGGTTGGATACTGTCGTGTGATTGGTCGAGGGGTTGGTTACGGTCGGGTGATTGGTCGAGGGGTTGGATACTGTCGTTTGATTGGTCGAGGGGTTGGATACTGTCGTGTGATTGGTCGAGGGGTTGGTTACGGTCGGGTGATTGGTCGACGGGTTGGATACTTATGTGTGATTGGTCGAGGGGTTGGATACTGTCGTGTGATTGGTCGAGGGGATGGTTACTGTCCTCTGATTGGTCGAGGGGTTGGTTACTGTCCTCTGATTCGTCGAGGGGTTGGATACTGTCCTGTGATTGGTCGAGGTTTGGCAGAATGACCGTGTGGCGCTGGGTGCAGTTTCCAGTGGCATCAGAAGATAAATAATGCAGAATATTCCACACAAAGAAAGAACATTAACAACTTCAAATAAATACATAGAAAAAGAAACAAAGTATTTACAATGTTTTAACTCCTCCCACAAGTTCATACAGGAAGTACTTTCCCCAATATTACAATAACACAATGGTTTAGTCAACTTCTCACACTGAAGACCCGCATGTTAGACCTGGGTCAACAACCTCAACGAGACGTGTTGTTTAGACCCGTGTCAACTGTCTGAAAGAGAGGCGTGTTGTTTAGACCTGTGTTGAGAAGGCGGCATCACTGCGTCAGTGTTTTAGGTTATAACCCATGTTTTTGTCAGTGTGAAACCCCGTTCTGAGGTCCAATCCAGTGTAAACGTTCATCAGAAAGAGATTCTTCTTTCTTTGTCTTCTTCTTGTCTTTGTGCTCAAGAAGAAAGTGTTATGTCTTTTTTATATCGTTTTCCGGCTTTTCTGTTTCTGACGTGTCCCTGTGTTTCCCTCAGTGTGTGTCAGGGTCAGTCTTTAAACCCAATCCGCCTAGGGATAGGGTAGGGTGGGGTAGGGTAGGGTTGGGTGGGGTAGGGTAGGGTTGGGTGGGGTGGGGAAGGAAGGGGTAGGGATGGTGGAAATGAGGCTACAGTAAACACCTCTTGGTGTTTGCAGTCACACCCCGAGGAGATCTTTACTCTATGTTCGAACAGAGGATCCAGAGTCGCCATAGTCTCTGTGTGTTTGTTTCTGGATCAGTGAATGTGAGCGCTCAGGCAAAGTTACGGAGCTCTGTGGGCACTCATATATTGTCCTCATGTTTACTGAGTCTGTGTGTATACAGAGACAGAGGTCTGAGTCTGTGTGTATACTGAGACACAGAGGTCTGAGTCTGTGTGTATACAGAGACAGAGGTCTGAGTCTGTGTGTATACAGAGACACAGAGGTCTGAGTCTGTGTGTACAGAGACAGAGGTCTGAGTCTGTGTGTATACAGAGACACAGAGGTCTGAGTCTGTGTGTATACAGAGACACAGAGGTCTGAGTCTGTGTGTATACTGAGGTTCCTAAGTCCCGCTGTGTTGCCAGATAAGCAGGTGAGTGTTATATGAGCCTCTCCTCTGGTGGGACCTTGAGCACGCTGCCCATCTCCAGCCGGGCCCCTGCCACCTCCTGGCAGCTGGGGCTGTAGGTCCCCTCAGACTGGCGCTTCTTTCGAGCCGTCATGGCCAAGAAGAAGACGGCGAGGACGGCGAGCAGGACACAGAGGGTGATGACAGGGATGGTCACGGCGAGCCAAGGCACCCGCTCCATCTGCTCCTCTTTCTGCAACAAACAATGGAAGAAAAAACACATTTAAGAAACATTTACAGATCTCTGTTGTGTGCTCTTACTACTGTCCTGTGAGTGCGCTGCAACACTGGCATTTCTCCACTGTGGGACCAATACTGGCTCTATTTTTAGATAAATCTCCATCCCACAGTTCTCAGTAACGTGTGTTTGTCATTAAACATTGGAGTATTTCGTGGTTGTTGTGTATGAGGTTCACTCTATGGTCTATTTCTGGTCTTTCTCTTTCTAATCTCACTCTGAACTTTTGCTGTCTGTGATGTCACACTGTGTCTGTGATGTCACACTGTGTCTGTGATGTCACACTGTGTCTGTGATGTTACAGTCTGTCTGTGATGTCACACTGTGTCTGTGATGTCACAGTCTGTCTATGATGTCACAGTCTGTCTCTGATGTCATAGTCTGTCTGTGATGTCATAGTCTGTCTGTGATGTCATAGTCTGTCTGTGATGTCACAGTCTGTCTGTGATGTCATAGTCTGTCTGTGATGTCATAGTCTGTCTGTGATGTCATAGTCTGTCTGTGATGTCATAGTCTTCAGAATAGTTTCCAACTTCAGATCGTTTGTTTTTGTGTCTTGTTGCTGTGGATGAGAGTCCTGAAGTGTTGTGACTCGTGTGGTGCAAAGTTTGTGGTTGCCATGGCCACGGTCCTCTCTCTGTGGGAGCTGCAGCTTTGAAGTAAAAATGTCTGTTCCACAGATGAGTTTTTATCATAGATTGTAAATCGTGAAGAAGGAGAGCTCTGTTCCACATGTGCTTCTCTCTGTTCTCTGGAACTAAACCTGATCCAGGACCTGATCCAGGACTGAGGACAGACCTGGACTCGGACCAGATTTAAAGTATAAATAAACCCAGAATTGAGAAGTGTATTTTTTTTTTTTTACTTATTTATTTGGGTGTTAAAGGAGGTACAATGCATATTAATGAACATTTAACAAATGTAAATATGCCAGATTATAGCCTTAGGCTAATTTCCATCTGCAGACCTCCTGGCAGGTTGATGTTAACAAAGAACATAAAAACAAACAAGATGTAACAATACAAATCATGCAAAAAAATACAGTGTACACAAGACTATATACAGGACATGTACAAGGACAGCTGAACACGTACAGACATGTGAGACAGTAAACAACAATTGACAGAAAGACTTGAGACATTGTATTTCACACATCCTATTGCACTGTTCCCTAATGCACCGTTCCCTACTGTACTGTTCTCTATTATACTGTTCCCTACTGCACTATTCCCTATTGCACTGTTGTTCCCTACTGCACTGTTGTTCCCTATTGCACTGTTGTTCCCTACTGCACTGTTGTTCCCTATTGCACTGCTCCCTATTGCACTGCTCCCTATTGCACTGCTCCCTATTGCACTGCTCCCTATTGCACTGCTCCCTATTGCACTGCTCCCTATTGCACTGCTCCCTATTGCACTGCTCCCTATTGCACTGCCCCCTATTGCACTGCTCCCTATTGCACTGCTCCCTATTGCACTGCTCCCTATTGCACTGCTCCCTATTGCACTGCTCCCTATTGCACTGCTCCCTATTGCACTGCTCCCTATTGCACTGCTCCCTATTGCACTGCTCCCTATTGCACTGCTCCCTATTGCACTGCTCCCTATTGCACTACTCCCTACTGCACCGTTCCCTACTACACTATTCCCTTCTGTACTGTTCCCTGTTGTTCCCCTGCTTCTTTATTCAAGACTTATGTTACACATGCTCACATATTTGAGAGTCCCTCAGCCACAGTTTTAACTGATGCTTAAATGTGGGGAGGCTGGTGCAGTCCCTCACTGATGCTGGTATTCTGTTCCAGTCCTTTACGCCCTGGACTGACAGGACATTTTGGGAGAAGGCTGTCCTTCTCAGTGGGAGATCACAGTCTCCTCTGACTGTCGCTCGAGTCAAGCGAGCAGCGCCACTAACAGATTTCTGCTTGATGAACTCACTCATTGGTGGGGGGGCCAAATCATGCAAGACTTTGTAGATCAAGCAAGTAGATTTAAATAACTTAAAATTGGAAAAACTTAGTAACTTGTATTTATCTAAGATTTGACAGTGGTGGAAAGAGAGAGGTTTTTTGTCAAGGATTTTAAGTGCCCTTTTGTAGCATGACTCGACTGGTTTAATCGCTGAGATACCAGCATAAGACCAGCTCGTGATACAGTATTCTATATGAGACAGTATCATGGAATGTAGGAAAGTTAGTGCTGCTTGGTCAGTCAAGGAAGCTCGAATATGTTTAAAATGATGTAAATTTAATTTTACGGTTTTTACTATTTTTTTTACATGATTATGGAATGACAATTTTGAATCTAGCAGTACACCAAGATACTTAAATTGTTCTACATTCTCTAATGCTACACCTCCCAGGTTTACCTTTGCTGGGGTTAATTTTGTGTTTGGCTTGGAAAAGAACATAGATACAGTTTTTTTAACATTGAGACAGAGATAGGAGTCATGTAGCCATTTCTGTAGATCATCAAGAACTGTTGACAGACAAAGGGCTGCTTCCTCTGCACTTCTTGCTTTTGTAAAAATAACTGTGTCATCAGCATACATTATGGTGTCCACATTCTTACAGATACTTGGTAAGTCATTGACATACAGTGAGAAAAGTAAGGGGCCTAAAATTGACCCCTGAGGAACCCCTATGTTGTAATGGAGAAAGGGGGACCTACTGTCACCTACTTGCACACACTGCTGCCGGTCTAGAAGGTATGACTTCACCCACTGAACTGAATGAGCGCTGAAGTTAAATTCAGACAGTCTTGACAGGAGTTTTAAATGATTGATCGTGTCAAATGCACGTTTAAAATCAATGAAGACGGCTGCAACACAACTATTTTTGTCAAGATAAGACTTGACCTTTTCCACGAATACACAGACAGCTGTTTCTGTTGAGTGCTGGGACCTAAACCCAAATTGCATGGGGTGTAGGCCTTTGCCATTGTTGAGATGTTCTGTAATAGATTTGGCCACCCATTTTTCAGCAATCTTTGAGATGGTGGGCAGAATGCTGATGGGCCGATAGTTAGCGGGTTCTGTTTTGTCACCCGATTTATGGATAGGTGTAATTTTGGCCATCTTCCACTTCAGTGGAACAGCTGCTTGTGTAATCGATACATTAATTAGATGTGTGATGGGTTTTGACAGACACAGTTTATAGTGCTTCACTAGATTGGTATCTATTCCAAATATATCCTGTGCTTTTGAATTTCTTAATTTTGAGATTATATTTAATACATCAATTTCCAAGACTCTTTCAATGTTAAACTCAGGTGCACTATGGGAGAGTATGCGGTCACCTAGTTTCCCTATTTCTTTACATGAATTAGTAAAAGGATCACAGGGCGATCTAAAAGATTGTGCAATCTCATTTGTGATGTTATGAAAGTATTCATTTAATTTATCAGCAAGGATAACAGGATCACAGACCAATTCATTATCAAATTTAAGCTCAAGTTCTCTTCCACATTTTTCTCTTGGTTGTCCAGTCAATTTTTTAATATTATCCCAGATAACTTTACAGTTTCCTCTGGCATCATCTATCACCTTTATAAAGAAGTTTGCTTTTGCCATTCTTAAAGTCTGTGTAACCCTATTTCTTATTGAAACAAAATTTAGTCTATCAGTCGTTAGACCAGACCTTAATGATTTTTTAAGAAGTTTGTCTCTATGAATCATAAGTTGTTTGCAGTCCCTGTTGATCCAAGGTAAATGATGTAGTTGTTTTTTATGAGATCCCATTCTTTGAAACGGTCTCACGGCATCACTGATTGACGAGTAAATGAGGTCACAGCATTTATCAATATTTGTACAGGAAGTAATTTCAGACCAATTAAAGTTATTCAATGCAACAGCTACATTTTGTTCTTGACTTTTTGGTATAAACAATCGATTAGGGCTTAAGCTTTTATGGTTATGTCGTTTTTTAGAGAGCTTTCTGGAGATAAAAATTGCATTGTGATCTGAAAGTCCTGTCAAGAAGTTGTGTGATTTTATTATTCTTTCTGGTTTATTAGTAAACACAAGATCAATTTGTGTTCTTGAAAGACTTGTTATCCTTGTGGGACCATTAATAATTTGTGTAAGGCCAAAGTGATCTGTGACCTCTTTAAGTTTTTTCCTGTCACTTTTTTTTCCCCAATTAACATTGAAGTCTCCTAAAACAATAACCTCTTTGTTAAAGTTGCATCTGTTTAGTAGGACCTTAAATTGCTCATAAAACTCCACTTTTGTGGAGGGTGGACGATACAGATATATAACAGTGAGTGTCATTTCTGCAGAGAGTGATACATTCATTCCGATACATTCAATTGTGATATCAGCAGGCCATATAATTTCCATACATTTGATGCTATCTTTAACATAAACTAAAACACCACCCCCCTTTCCCTGAGTCCTATCCCTTCTAAAGGCATTATATCCTTGCATTTTCACCACTGCTTCTGGAGAGGAGTGGGTAAGCCACGTTTCAGTAAGCCCCAATAGGTTAATATTAGAGTTCATGAGAAGGTGTTCCAGCTGTTCTTTTTTGGGGGTCATGCTACGTATATTGAGATGGCCACATAGTAGTCCTTTTTTTCTAAACTTCGTGTCCCATATTGTCCTCGCTTGATTCAAAGTCTGGAATAGATTGGTTGCTCGGTGCTTCTTGAATACAGGATTTCTATGTCTAGGCACGTGTGTAGATGTTTGCTTACTGGGTCCAGTTGTTGAGATGTTAGGCGAGTGATAGGTCCACCGCAGATCCGCAGCCTCTGCCCATGGCGTCTCCGTGATCCCCGGACTCCCCAGCGCCGCGGCAGCACAGACCACAGACGCGCAAGCGGGTGCGCCACCCAGCAGGCCCAGACCCCCCTCGGCGCACCCTACGGGCCCATCAGCCTCGGCCCTGCGCGCAGTAGCACACGCACCAGGTGGCGGCATGGAGCGCGCAAGGGGCGCAGCGCCACCGAGACACC